ACTACAATACAAAAGTGATCTTATTTAGACTTCATGGACTATACATTAAGATAGGTATTCCTGCCCATTCCCACTCCCCTACACTGTACAGAAACCCTTTGTAGGTAAGTGGAGTCCGGTTTCAAGTGCATATACTATTAACTCTTATGTTTCTTGAGACCAGTTGGCTTTATGTATGACCAAACACCTTCAGTTTTCTAGCTTCTTTTGTGAATGACTTATAAACTCTTTCAGTTGTACTGTTTAGATAAGTAACATATTTAGTATTGTTGTGTACTGTTGAGTCAGAACCGACCCACAGCTGACCCTCTGCTGGGTTTTCAGAGGCATTAATCACACAGGAAGAGATTGCTTATCCTTCTCCTGTGGAGCTGCTGGTGGCCTTAGATTGCAGTGCAGCTTCTTGCCTCTAGGCCACCAGAGCTCCCTTTTAGAATGATTGGATCAAAAATCCTGAAGAGAAACCTATGCTATTAAAATATTTGTCCTGCTTTCTGAAAATATATTCAACCTTTCTAAGGTTCATACCTCCTTAGAGCAATTAAAATTCTCCCCTTCAACCTCTACTTTTAAAATGCTGTCAGGAGTCAAGACGTGTCAGCCTTTAGAAAAAGACAGAATGCTTGGAAAAGCAGAAAGCCAACAAAGGAAAGGAAGATCTTCAAGGAGATGGATTGACACTGTGACTGAAAAAATGGGTTTTAGCATGGCAGAGATTGTGAGCATGGCAGAGATTGTGAGCACCGCACAGGGTAGGGCAAGGTTTTGATTGACTCCTCCTGGGATCACTGTGAGTTGGAGTTGACTTGATGCCACCAAACAACAAATTGTACATCTACATGCCAGAGACTGTGTCAAATGCTGAATTTATGATGACAAAAACGGTCTGATCTTTGTACGTGAGTTTCTACCGGTGTAATGGGGGAACACAGACTTGAAAGTGATCAATTTCAAAATTGAGTTTTATGGGTAGAACAAATGTCAGTATACTCTAATGAGAATGGTCCACAGTGAAAACCAGTATGAAACCCTTGCCTGGAATGTCACTTTTCCTTCTTTATAAATAGAAGAATGCAGCCTGTCCTTCAGACAGCATTGTGTACTAAAGATAATGGTAATATAAGGAGTTTGTGGAAAGTGAAAGGAACCATTTTGGCTTAAATAGTGCCTGCTTGCTTTCTCCTGTAGGTGACATCTCTCTTTTAAATGATTGTACATGAAACAGAATATAAATAGACACATAGATCAATGAAACAAAATGCTATTGTTGTCAGGTGTCCTCAAATTGACTACGACTCATAATGACCCTATCAATAACAGGTTGGGACCTTGCCTTATCCTGTGCTATTCTCACAATCTAAGCCATGCTCAAGCCCATTCCTGAGATCAGAAAGCCAAAAGATCAGCCTTCATATTTATAGTCAATTGATATTCAGTAAAGATGCCAAAACAATTCAATGGGGGGAAAAGTATTCTCAACACATGATACTGGAACAAATGGAGAGCCACATGTAAAAGATGACGCTAGACCCCTACACTACCACAATGCTGTTGGTAAGTGCCGTCTAGTCACAGACAATAGACAACTCATAGTGACACTGTGAATGAAAGACCTGAACAATTGTATAACTTTCATCATTTTTCCAAGTTCATAGGGTTTCCGGAGGCAAGCTATTTCGGAAGTGGATGCCACTCTTGCTTCCAAGCTTGTTTAATGAGGCAGCTCAACCAAACACTGTCCCCGATGGGTAACCATTATTGCATTTGACACATCAGTGATACCGTGTTCAGCATCACAGCAACCACTATAACTAAAAAATTAACTGAAAAACTGCTCAGAGATCTAAGGTAAAATCCAACAAAATAAAGTACTTGAAAGAAAACAGACAAAAAATGTTTATAATCTTGGAGCAGGCAATGATTTCAGCGATATGATACCAAAAGTACAAAAAGAAAAAAAAATCATGTTCAGTTCCACTGAGTCATAATCACCTCATAACTGGTCCTCCGGTAGGTTTTCACAGGCAGTAAACCACAAAGATTCCTGACCTTTCTTTCATGGGATGTATGTGCATGCACACACACTAACACACACTCACATACACACACACACACACACACACACACACACACAACCCTTTCTCCGCTACCTATCTGTGAATATGGAACTTAGAAAAATAAGAAAAAGAAAAAAGGAAAGCAGCAGCCCTAAGGACAATTATAGTTATGATAGCATGGACTACAGGAGACACACCAGTCATTAGAGCATTCCACAGGCACCCAGACCATGTGGCTCGATAATAAGACATTCTTTTAAATCATTAATAAATACATGTTTTTTAAAAAATGTAAAATAATTTAAAAATCTATCAGAATTGTTTTGTTCGTCCAAAATAACAGGCATTATTGAACTGTAATCTCTATACCACACAATTTATTCTTTGATACAGTTCAGAGGCTTAGTACATTTGGAATTGGGTTACACTCACCAAAATCAGTTTTAGAACATCTCATCATCCTATATAGAAACCTTGCACTCAATAATAGTCACTCTGTATTATGTTTTCAATCTATATGTGGAACAGATCATCCAGGAGGCTGGGCTCCATGAGGAGAAATGTGGCATGAGGATTGGAGGAAGACTCATTAACAACCTGCGTTATGTAGATGACACAACTCTGCTTGGTGAAACTGAGGAGGACCGGAAGCATTTGCTGCAGAAGGTCAAGGACTGCAGCCTTCAATATGGATCAAAGCTCAACAACAACAAAATAAAGATTCTCACCACTGAGTCAATAGGCAGCATCAAGATGGATGGTGAAGAGACTGAGATTGTTAACAGCTTTAGTTTGCATGGTTCCACAATCAACATTCTTGGTACCAGCAGCCAGGATATCAAAACACAAATTAATTTGGGAAAGTCTGCTGTAAGAGACCTCGCCAAAGTACTGAAGAGCAATGATGTCACTCTGGAGACTAAGAGGCCATGGTCTTTGCAATCACTTACTATGCATCAGAGAGCCAGTCATTGACTAGGGATGATAGAAAGAGAATTGATGCCTTTGAGCTCTGGTGTTGGAGAAGAGTACTGAATATACCATGGACTGCTAGGAGAACAATAAAGCTTGTCCTGGAGACAGTGAAGCCAGGCTGCTCCTTGGAGGCAAAGATTCTGAAGTTTCATCTGACATACTTTGTTGCAAGCTGGGGTAAGTCCTTAGAGAGGAACGTAATGCTTGGGAGGGTGGAGGAACAGTGTAGGAGAGGAAGACCCTCAATGACAGGTATTAGGTGTGGCAGAGACAACTAGATTGGCATAGGCTAGAGTAGGATTTAGGGCTGGCGTATGTAGGGTCACAATGACTCCCAGGTGACTCAGTGGCTCATAAAAACAACAAGGCAGCCACTGATTTGCTTTCTATCTCTAAGAATTCATCTATTCTGAGCAATTTATGGAATCACGTAATATGTGGTCTTTTGAGACTGACTTCTTTTACACTTTAATGCTTTCAAGGTTCATCCATGTTGTAAAGTACAGCAGTTGTTATTGCTATATGCCATCGAGTCACTTGTGACTCATAACAACCCTACACACAACAGTCCTTAAACCTGATCTATCCTGGGCCAATCTCACTGTCTCTGACACACCCACCTCCATTACCAAGTCACTGAACCAATCCATCTCAGAGAGGGTCTTCCTCTCCTGTGCTGTCACTCCACCCTTCCAAGCATGACATTCCTCTCCCAGGGCTGGTCGCTCTTTGCAACATGTCCTAAGTATGTCAGATGAAACTTCAGAATCCTTGTCTCCAAGGATAAGCCTAGTTTAACCTTCTCCAGGACAAACCTGTATGTTCACTTAGCAGTCCATGATATATTCAATACTCTTCTCCAACACCACAGCTCAAAGGTATCAATTCTGTCATATCTAGTCAATGTCCAGCTCTCTGATGCATAATAAGTGATTGCACACCTTAGTTTCCAGAGTGATATCATTGCTCTTCAGTACTTTGGTGAGGTTTCTGACAACAGACTTTCCCAGATTAATTTGTGTTTTGATATCCTGGCTGCTGGTACCAAGGGTGTTTATAGTTGAGCCAAGCAAACTAAAGCACTTAATCTCAATCTCTTCACCATCTATCATGATGCTGCCAATTGACCCAGTAGTAAGAATTTTTGTTTACTTGATATTGAGCCTCAAGCCATATTGAAGGCTGCAGTCCTTGACCTTCTACAGCAAAGTGTTCAGGTCCTCCTTAGTTTCAGCAAGCAGGGTTGTGTCATCTGCTCAACTCTGATTGTTAACAAATCTTCCTCCAATCCTGATACTGCATTTCTCTTCAAATAGCCCAGCCTCTCAGATAATCTGTTCTGTATATAGATTGAAAAGTTATGGAGATAGGACACATCCCTAGTGTTCACCTTTCCCAATTTTGAACCATGCAGTGTTTCCTTGCTCTGTTCTGATGACTACCTCCTGGTCCAAGTATAGGTTAAGCATTAGCATGACCAAGTGTTCTGGGATACCCATTCTTCTCAGAGTTAGCCACAGTTTGTTATGATCCACATAGTCAAACGCTTTTGCATAATCAATGAAACACAGATATCTGGTATTCCCTGCTTTCAGCTAAGATCCCTCTAACATTAGCTACAATATCCCTAGTACCACGACCCCTTCTAAACCCAGCCTGGATATTTGGGAGTTCTCTGCTGATGTGCTATTCCAGTCATTTATGGATAATCTTCAGCAGAATCTTGCTTACATGTGATATCAATGATATTGTTCGATGATTTCCACACTTTGTCAGATCACCTTTCTTTGGGATGGAAACAAATATAGATTTCTTTCAATCAGTTGGCCAAGTGGTTGTCCTCCAGATTTCTTGGCACAACTTAGTTAGTATGTCTAGGATAGCATCTGTTAGTTTATATACATCAATTCATAAACCATCTATTTCTGGGGCCTTATTTTTTGCCAGTTCCTTCAAAGCAGCTTGAACTTCTTCCTTCATCACCATAAGCTCTTGATCATGTTGTTGCATGAAATTCTTCGGTGTCTGCCAACTCCTTTTGGTACAATGACTCTTTTTACTCTTTCCAGCTTCTTTTGATGTTTCCTGGATCATTTAATATTCTGCCGAAAGCATTCTTAATTATAGCAACTCGAGGTTTGAATTTGTTCTTCAGTTCCTTGAGATTAAGAAATTCTGAGCATGTTTGGCCCTTTTGATTTTCTGACTCAAGCTCCTTGCATATTTCATTGTAATATTTTACTTTGTCTTCCCATGCTGCCTTTTGACAACTTCTGTTCAGCTCCCTGTATACAGAACAGATTTTCCAGGAGGCTGGGCGGTATGAGGAGACATGTGGCATCAAGATTGGTGGAAGAGATTCATCAATAATCTGCATTATGGAGATGACATAACCCTGCTTGCTGAAACTGAAGAGGACCTGAAGTACTTCCTACAGAGGGTCAAGGACTACAGCCTTCCATATGGATTGAGGCTCAATATCAAGAAATAAAGATTCTCACCACTGAACCAATTGGCAGCATCAGGATGGATGGTGAAGAGATTGAGATTGTTAACAGTGTAAGTTTCCTTGGCTCCACAGTCAGCACTCTTGGCACCAGCAGCCAGGAAATTAAAAGACGTATTGCAATGGGAAAGTCTGCTGTTAGGGACCTCTCCAAAGTACTAAAGAGCAATGGAGACTAAGGGGCACCTGATACAGGTCTTGGTCTTTCCAATCACTTGTCATGCATCAGAGAGTTGGACAATGACTAGGGAGGGGCTAGAAGGAGAGTTGATGCCCTTGAGCTGTGGTCCTGGAGAGGAGCATTGAATATACCCTGGACTTCAAGAAAAGATGAGCAGTCTTCTCTCGTGCAATTTACTGCCTCTGAAAACCCACTGGGCAGTCAATATGCTTTGATTCCAATTCAATGTTACACAAAAACAATGATGGTTGTGAAAGTAGCATTGGTAGTAGCATAGTGTGTAAGATATTGGGCTGCTAACCAAAAGGTCAGCAGTTCAAATCTACCTGCAACTCCATGGAAGAAAGGACAATATACTCCTGTAAAGATTTATAGCCTCAGAAATCTGATGGAGGATCACTGAATTGGAAGCCACCAGATGGCAGGGGGTGTGATGGCAGGAAGTGATATATCCTTGTTTTTAAGGAGACTTACTGGCATTTTTAATGACATCTATCTACTGACATCAATCATCCTTTCTTACGCTTACTAGATATTTGTGTATTTTCTTTGGAAAGTATGCCTATTCAGATCTTTCACTCATTAAAAAAATTAATTAAAAATTGTTAATTTATAAGAGTTTTTTCTGTATTCCAGAAACCAGTCTCTCTTCTGACAGATGGTTTAAAAATATTTTCTCCTATTCTATGACTTGCCTTTTTACTTTGATAGTGGTGCCCTTTGATGAACTAGGTTTCAAGTTTTGATAACAGGTAATTTACTTAGACCTCCTCCAACTCAATAGTGCACAATACCAACAACAGCTCTGATGGCCTAGTGGTAAGGAGTTGAGCTGTCAACCCAAAGGCACGTGGTTCTAATCCTCTAGCTAGTCTATGAGAGAAAGCTGACCAATCTCCTCTCATCCGAGTTACTGCCTCGGAAGACCAGCTGACGGATCAGTTATGAGTTGGTTCCAACTCAATGGCACATAACATGATTTATTTATTCTTTGTTGTTTTACTTTGATGTTGTACTTTTGCAGGTCTGAAATCATTGCCTATATACCCTTTTGAAAGATTCTAATGTAACATTTATTTACCTTTGTTCTACTGTAACATCTTTTTAAACATATGGTAAAATACCATCACCATATAAAATCAAGAGTAAGACCATAAAGAAAATGCTTACCAAAAAATAGTGTCTCTGTCAGGAGAAGTCAAGTTAAAACAATAAGAGGCACAACGTTCACAAACACAAAAACACCATCAAAGGCAAGTTCTGTTGGAAGGATTTCTGAGCAAATTCCATGTTTGTGTCTAATGTCACTGCATTAATGTAAGCTGTAGATATTTTTCAACATAGGAAAATTTGCTTCTTTAAGGACATGTACTTAAAAAGCGTGAAATATAATTTTGAAACTTTTTTCCAAAACAAAAATTTTAAACTATACTATTCCTTTAAAAAAAAAAGCTCCACAAAATTCATCATTTGATAAAAAAAATGTATTTCTTGAAAATACAGTTTCAATTTAGAAACATTTTAAAAGACATGAAATCTAATACATAGATGATAAAGAACAATACCATTTGACTGAAATGTTTTAAAGCTCTCATTCCTACCTCTGTTTCAGGACTCTTCGATCAACCACTCCATTGTCAGGGTATTGTGCTGGATACACTGAGGGCATCTGCTGCCAGTGACCAGCTGAACCAGAGGAATTTTCATCCCTGTGGCAAAGAGAGCAATACCATATGTCAGTAGCCCCCTTTCACAGTCCTGGAAGGAGGTCAGTGACTATTCATCAGAAGCCATAAATACTGATCTTACTGCAACTCCAGGGGCAGCATCAGCCCAAAGCAAACTGTATTCCTGAAGTCCATGTCCAAACTCCACATTAGACTCATGACTCCAAGAACGGAAAGAAAGGCCGTCTGGGCTCCTATAGCTCTCCTGTTCCCCATTTACCCGTTCACAGTGCTGTTTTCAGTAGCTAGCCTCCATTGTTTTAGTAGTATAGAGTCATAAGGTCATTCTTTTCATGAAGAAACAGAAGTGATAATTGAGCTTTTGCTTAATATTCTAGTTTGGAACAACAAAGTCTTAATTCTATGTCTGAGCCAGCCTCTGCTATTTTGTGGGCATTTCACCATCTGTGAAATCTCAGAGGAACTCTGGTGGCACAGTCCATAGGAAAAGGCCAAGCATCACTGATAGTTTGAATCCACCAACTGCTCCCTGATAGTAAGATGGACAATCTCCTCTCATGTGATTTACAATCCCGGATACCCACCGGAGGATCGGCTGTGAGGTGGTGTCTGACTCAGTGACAATGAGATTTTTCAGTGGCATCTCATGGCCTTGAAATAACAGCTCTGGAGCGTCCTTGTTTTCTGAGTGATGCACCAGCAGCAGTGAAGGGAGAGCATCCTTTTAGGGCCATAAACTGATCAGCAGCACTGACAGGGCTTGACCTTGTTGTTGTTGTAGTTATGTGCTGTCGAGTCGCTTGTGACTCATAACAACCTTATGTACAATAGCCCTAAACCCTGCTCTATCTCTTGCCGATCTTATTGCCTCTGATATACCTATCCCCATTATTCCAGTGATGGAATCAATCCATCTCATAGAGGGTCTTCCTCTCCTGCGCTGTCCCTCCACCCTCCCAAGCATGATATCTCTCTCCAAGGATTGATCCTGCCTTGCAACATGTCTAAAATATGTCAGATGGAGCTTCAGGATCCTTGTCTCCAAGAACCAGCCTAGCTTCACCCTCTCCAAGACGAACTTATTTGTTCTCCTAGCAGTCCATGGTCCAGCACCAAAGCTCAAAGGCATCAACTCTCCTTCTATCATCCCTGGTCATTATCCAGCTCTCTGTTGCATGGCAAGCAATGGCAAAGACCATGTCCTCTATCAGGCGCACCTTAGTCTCCAGACTGAAATCGTTGACCTTTGTTCTCCTAATTTCTTGCCAGATGATTGTTCCAGCAGTTTCAACAGAGTGACAAGTGAAAAAGCAACTGGAAATATACCTATTGTGAATTGTTATCATTTACAAAGATCTGAATCTTTTTCTCTCTCACCCTCCAGTGGGTTTTCTGAGGCTGTAAATTGTAATGAAGGAGAAACTAGTGGATTTGAACGACCCAATTTTGAGTTGGTAGTGCAATCCATTATCCACTAGTTCACCAGAGCTCCCCTAAATAAGATGTCAAATATCCTGTTCAGATGGTCTATAAATCTTTTTCTAAATAACACACCAGGCAGTCATTCATCATTAAATAGAATTTGCATGCAAGTTAAAACCCACCTGCTAGATCTGGAATGCTAGTGTAGACTCTTAGAATGGGTTGCAAATCATTAGTTATTCTGTTCATTTCATTTTACAATTTAAGAAACAGACATTAAAAGTCAAGCAAAATCTCCAGTGTTAGGTGAGTGGCTGATGGCAGAACAGGGATATCAAGTATTTTGTGCCTAATTTTAAGGTTCTTTCTGTTAAGCAATTACTTATGTACTAAAAACCTTTGACAACAAATTTGTTGTTGCTGCTGCGTACCATTAAGTTAGAACTGACCCACATCTGACCCTGAAGCTGGTTTTCACAGGCAGTAAATTACATGGGAGGAGAATGCCCCTCCCCCTCCCCCAGAACAGCCAGAAGATTTGCATTGTTAAGACAACTCCTTACCTCTAAGCCATCAGGGTTCCAAGCTACAACCCCCAAATACCGCAAATAAGCACTTCCATCCCACATAGGGCTGCAATTTCTTATCAAACCATAAAATCAATTCTATTGCCATTGAATTGATTTGACTCATGGTAACCCAATAGAACAGAGTAGACTTAGGAGGCTTCCAAGGCTATCATTTTGTCTGAACAGAAACTGCTGTGTTTTTCTCTTGAAGAGTGGCTGGCAGTTTTGGATAAGCAACTTTTCAATTAGTAGCTCAGCACTTAACCACTGCACCACACAGCTTTTTTATTCCACAGTAATTCAACCTAAATATGAACGGTTCTTAAAAGTGTGTCATGGAGTTGTACA